TGAAAAACATCGTGATAGTCAGGACTTCTTACTTGTTTAGTATGACAATTTAAATGCATGTTCTTGAGTTATTTTTTTTATTATTGTATGGATTTATTGTTAATGTATGAATTTACTATTATTATAATATTCTACTGCTCCTGCCACTAGATTGTTATTATTACTCATTTAGACATTGATATTATTTAATACTAATGATTTATTGTACTGATATTAAGTATGTGATATACTGAGCACGTGATATAGAATGCATTGATAACATATATATTCATATATGATTTTATTACATTAATTTGATTTCGATAGTGTTTATCGATATTTTGATTTGATATTTTATATAATTTTATACTAATTGGTATTACTGATATGACAATTGCATTATAGATTTGACACTGGTACTGGTATATAACTTTACTAGCTTATGTATCGTAGTATTTTATTGTTTACAGATTGTACTACAATTGCATTTGAGATTTACTATTTATGCATTGATTTAATAATCATATAAATATAATTATTATGATTTGATTATTGACAAACATATTACTTCTTTATCATGATTTGAATTCAGTTATAAGTTTTGGTGACCTACTGGGCTTTTTAAGCTCATTATATCTGGTTCAATGATTTCAAGTCAGGATAGGGGAACATGAGTGTAAGGTTAGTCAGGATTCTTCAAGTTCTATTTCTTTTTGTTTTTCTTTCGTAGTCAGGATATAGTAGTTATGATATGATTGTGTAGATCATGAGTAGTGTATACGATTTTTAGGAATGAATATAAATACGTACATTAATATTTTGATTTATATAATATGTTTTATTGTTTATTACTGATAGATGATATTAGATAGCTCTGATTGTTATTTATTAAAAGATTAAAAAAATAATTTTTTCAATTTAGAAATTGAGATACCACAATAAGGTCTCTTGAATATTAAGTCCAAGTCCAAACTCCAAGTCCCCCCTTTTATGTAGAGAGTATGTTCATATTTCTAGATTCTTTAGAATGAATTATCCTGTAAATATGGAGGAAAACCTGAATACTCTACTGGTCGACCAATACTTATTTCCTTCGTCATAGAGCATTTGTACATCATTTAAGTGCTTTAATGATGTCAAAATAAAGATATCTTTAGATTGTTGGATTTATATTGTCGAGATGCTTGATATGTGTATAAGCATATAAGATTTGAATATTATTTAGTCATCCAATTATGGGTGTCAATTCGGGTCAACTAGTCGAGTTTGGGTCAAACCCGACTTAATCCAACCATAAATGGGTTGACACTAACCCTAACCAATTTTGCAAACAAGTCAGAATTGTCAACCCAGACCAAACCCATGCGGGTTATCGGGTTGACCTTACTCAATCCGCGAGGGTAGAAATCACCTGACTCGATTTACAGAATGGAAGTTGGGGAGCCAATGCGAGCCCGCCGATTAGGTCTCGACTCTCGACCGAGGTACTAGAGCTAGTGCGGGGCTGCAGGCGAGACCGATGGAAGCAGCGGTAGCGCAGGAAGGATAGTGGCTTCGACAGCACATGCGGGACGGACGATGGCAGTGGTAGCTTGGGCACAAAGGTAGTAGTGATAGAGCCGGCGGGATAGACGGTGGCAGCGACTGCGTGAGACGGACAGAACGGCGGCAACGGTGCTGCGGCGGGCGTGACAAGATGGGAGACAACTTTACCCTTTCCTCTCTCCCTTTCAAGTTCTCTCTTCAAGCTTTCTCTAGAAAATGGAAGCTCCAATGGATGCCAAAGACTCTTACAAAGCCTTATGAGAGTGTGTAAATAGAGGGCACAAAAACCCTTAAAAAACTCAATTCATTCGTCAAAGATCGCACCATACGATGTGCAGAAATTGACCTGTTAGTACTGTACGATTACCAGTTAGTATTGTATGAACAGTTAAATTGCCTGTTCGTACTATATGATATCCAGTTAGTATAGTACGAACGATTTAATGAAAATGCAGTACAATCACCAAGTAGTGCTGTACGAACAGTTTAGTTTGCCTATTCGTACTGTATGATGTCCACTTAGTATTGTACGAACAGTTCAATAAAAATGTAATTCTTCCAAGACGAAGCATGGGATGGCCAAAATAGTCTCTGTTGATCGTACAGTACGATACAGTTAGTATAGTACGATCAAAATATCAAAATTAAGTCATTTTGATTGAATAATCACAGTATTAAATTAAGCAATATTTTAAACATCGTACAGTACGATCAGAACAACTTTTCAAATTCAAATTTTTTCTTAATTTAATGGACAACGGGCTTTCTAATTATAACAGATCGTCCAGTACGATGTGGTGATCATACTATACGATTAGACCTGTCAATATTGGACCCGACCCGAAAACCCGATCCGAACCCGAAGCGGGTCGGGTTCGGGTTCAGAAAACCGACCCGTTTGCAAAAACGGGTCGGTTTCGGGTTGACCCGACGGGTTGCCGGGTCAACCCGAAAACCCGTTTATTTTAAAAAAAATTTGAATTTCTGCCCCGCTCGCTGCCCCCGCGCTGCGCGCTGCCCGCTGCCCGCCAGCCCTGCTCGCTGCCCGGCCTACCCACGCGCTCCGAAGCGGGTCTGGTTCGGGTCCAGAAAATCGACCCGTTTGAAAAAACGGGTCGGGTAGACCCGAACCCGAATAGTACCGGGTCAATTTCGGGTTGACCCGAACCCGACCCGTAACCCGAAATTGACAGGTCTATATACGATTAATTATATTTTAAATATATTTTTTCAGCAAAGTAAATATTTTAATTAATTTATGTTACACCAGATCATATAGTACGATCCAAATCGTACAGTATGATATACAGAAAAATTAAAATATTTAAAATCATTTTTTGCTCCCCCTGTGTGTGTGCACGATCACCAATCTAACATACATCAATACAAGACTTGACTCAAGAAATGAAAATTACATACTCATTTAATATAACAAATTCTACACAATCTTGAGCCTTGAATCTTCAAAGAATGGTGCATAGTATACCTAAAATATTAGTCAACACACAATCAAATATGCACTGCAAACAGTAGGAGAAATAAAAGATTAATGATTATTATTTTTTATTATCAAAATTATAAACTCGAAAGCCCAAGTTGCAATAGCTGGATGATGAAAATAGGTCAATTAGGGTTGGTTTCGGGTCAACCCGAACCCGACCCACTTTTCCAACCCGACCCACTTTTACAAATGGGTTGGAATTACAAACCTGAACTCGACTAGTATAACAAATGGGTTGACCCCCGAACCCGAAATTTTCCTGGTCTGATTTTGAGTCATGTTAGATTTTGACACCCTTACATCCAATTGGTGCCATAGAGTTTCCAATTATGCTTAAAGTGCTCGTTGTGTTCTTATTCAAGCTCAAATTAAACAACTTTTTGTATCATTGGATTTGCTTTGTCGAGATGTTCAGTTTGACTATAAATTTATTAAAATTGAATTTCAAATAGTATTGCATTAATTTTAAAATTTTCTCATTCAAATATGAATTGAGATTCATACTTAATAAAGGCAATGTTTTATGATGCTAAATTAAAGAAATGAAAATAATCATCACAAAAGTGTCATAAATAAAATAAAAATACATCATCATATTATTTAGAATAAAAAAGTCTCTTATCTTATCCAATGTTGGAACTCTGCCCGACCATCACAATCAAACCTCCGCTTGGCCGCCTCCCATCGACCCTTCGTTGCCCAACTACAGTCCCTCCAACCTCAATCACAAGCCGACTATTGTCCCTTCAACCTCCTTCAGCGGTGTCGAAGGTGCCGAGCCAGAGGCGGGTGCGGATCTCGGCGACCCATTTGCTCCAGTGACGTTGACAGACGCCGCGGTAGAGCTTGGGAGGCTTCGCCGAGAGAAAAGTTACCTGCAGAACTTGCGAGCTCCCGTCCTTACTTCCGATGAAAATGTTAAAACTTCCAATCCGACAGGCAAAGGGAACGTTGTCGAAGGAGCGAAGTCAAACAAGAACAAAGGAGCCGAAGACGCCACTCGTGCAATCTTACACCTCCTGCGAAGCAATGAAGCTGAACAACAACGACAATGTGAAGATTTCTTCATCGAGAGATTTTAAAACTCGCTCAGTACGAGCGGGTTTCTAATTCGCATAAAACACGCCCTGTAATACACTACTAATGCTTCAGAGGATTTCCTTTTGTTCCGCTCAAATTTCATCAAACAGTCGAATTTAGTAAATATATGTAATTGTTTTAATATACACTCCTAATTCAGGCAATCAAACAGCCCCTAAATGACAAGCCAATATCCTCTTGAGAATAATTCTCATTCCATTGGATTCTTCTAATTCTAACCATGTATTATGCTCTACATGATGTATCCCTGTGTCAACATCTTCCCGAGAGGAAAAACATCCTTTGTAATCAATAACAAACAATAATGAAATCATTTTTACTGGATAAGACCCCATGATTTATCCTGTTTCTAGGGTTTCCACATAAACAATTTATCTCTAACGACTCTTGCGTCCCTTTTTCTTATCTGTGTGTGTGATGAATCTTCATACAAAGCTAGGATGTAAAATCCTATATCTCTCTAATGACACGAATGTTCCAGCACACAACATTTATATTTCTATAAAAAAAAACATTTATATTTCTATAACAAGCAAATAATACAATAACAAGGGTTGTTATGTGACCTACTTTAAAAATACATAAGGATAAAATTCAATGATATATATTATAAGGGTTGAAAATTCTTTCTACTTTATTATTAATTTAGAAGATAGATCTCAAGTTATTTATTATATTTTTAGAAACGATATAATTCTGGAACTCTCGTTTCTGTGGGTCCCATGTGATATGTGGCGACCCCGTTACCCCAATATCGATAAGATCGAGGATTATAAAGCATTTAATTTTATTAAAATAAAATACTTTATTACCACCACCCGTTCCATGCACGAACCCTAATCCCCAAAATAAACTTCTAGAATTTCGGCTTTACCTGTCTCCGACCGGTCTGGTGAATATCTGGAGCAAAACCCCCTGATCATCCCTATCAACAAGGACGCCCAGCTCCTCGCACTGCTTCATCTGCTCCTCACTGAGCACATCGCCGGCGCGTCGCCGGAGATTTACGTAGTATGTCGGAACTGGCGGGGGCATAAACTCAAAACCGCCCGCCGGCGACTTCGCCCTCATCTCCCTTAACGTCTGGAGCACATCATCAGTCGCCAATGCGAGGTGTTGCACGCCGGCTCCGACGTTATGATCCAGATAAGTCTGAATCTGACTCCTCCGCTTCGTCCCGTGTACCGGCTCGTTCATCGGAATCAGCACCGTCTCCTCGTTGTTCGCGAGCACCACCGAGTTCAATCCACTCTCCGCGGTGCCAATATCCGCCGCGGTGAACTCGGCGAACTCGTGGAATCCGGTGAAAGCCGCGACGTATTTCACCGCGGATGCGAGATCTTCGACGTTACCGACGGCGTGGTCGAGGCGGCGGATGCCGTAGTCGAGGCAGGGGGAAGGAGTGGGAAGGTCTTCGAATCCGGGGAGGAAGGATGGGGAATGAGGAGAAGGTGAAGGATGGCTAATGAATCGGAGGACGACATCGCCGTACAGCTCAACTTCGGAGAGGGCGAAGCCAAGGCCGAGATCAGCGGGAGGAAAAGCAGGACGGGCGCCGTGGGAGACACTGATGTGGAAGGCGGAGAATGCGTCGGATACACGAACGGCGATGGCTCGAACGCCGAGGCCGTGGGTGAGGGTGAAGCGGTGGGAAGCGGAGGGGGAAAATGAAGGAAGTGGCGATTGGGATTGCGGGGAAGGTGGGGGATCGGATGAGGAGGTGGGAGCAGAGAAGAGAAATTGAAGGGAGGAGCTGCGAAGGAGGAGTGAGGAGTGGATTGTGTTGCCGGTGGATATGTCGGATCGAGCGGAGAGGCGCATGCCGAGTCCGAAGGAAAATCGGCCGGCGGTGTTGGTGGCGTCACCGCACCAGAATTCAATGTGATGGAAGCCTAGCACGGGGAAGCGATCGGTTCGTGGATTTTTGCGCAGAAAGTTGGAGTATCCCACTAGCTTGAAGTCCTTTTCGCTGCTGGAGGCGGAGCCCGCCACCGCCGATTCCGTCCCAGCCACTGTCGCTTGCCCCATTTCTGTCTGTTTAAGGCGAAGAGTAGAATTTCCCTCTGGATGCGGGGGAGGGAAATATATGAGATTATTAATAATCTTAATTATTTGATTAAATTAGAGATATATTATTAATAATATCTTAATATCTGATTATTTGTTTAAGCTAATAACATTTATTATTAATAATTTCTTTGTGGATGCCACGTGGACGTGTGACATTGAGATTATCGAAGACGGCATGTTTATTTATTTATTTATTTTTTTTGTGCGCCAATGAGGATAAATTATTAACCTAGCATGCGTCTATATTTGATAGGTTCTGTAAATTTGACTAAAAATTTTAGGTTCGAATCACCTCATTTGAAAAATTAGTTAGATTAGGCTTAGAGCGGTTCTTTTTCAGAGTTCTAAAATTACCCTTCTTACACATTAAATAATTTTTTTACCCTCACAAAAGTGGGGATCCATCCATGGATTCAAGTTATATATTATGACCCGATTGTACTTTTGGGCCAATTTTGTATCAACTTCGAGTCAACCCAAAAAAGCGCAACTAATTCATATTTGACTTTATCCTGCCCATCCCTGCGTGTGCTCGCATGCCAGCCCCTACTCGCGATCGTCCGCTCTCTGTGCGTACTCCAACCGAGTCAGGGGATCGTATCGGATCTACTCGGATTTGAAGGGTCTTGCCGGATGATGGCGAGTCATTTTCAGATTAGACCCCTACTAATTATAAAGGGTGAAATCATGATTATTTTTTTTATTTCTAATTTATTTTATGATAGGTGAAAGATGGAGTAGATATGGTCAGTTGATATCAGTTAATTCAAGATGGATTCATTAGGTATGCGTAAGCAATTATATTTTTAAGCATTTTACGATTAATATGATAGGTAAATGCCCAATTGATATTTTTATCACTAGAGGCCATTTGGCTATTATTATAAGGATTATGCCAATAACTTTATAAGATTTAGATTTCATTTGCGATAACTTTCTTATTATTTTCTAGTATAAAAAAATTTGAACAAAATTTTTTTTTTCCAAAAATATACTTTAAAAAGCAATAAGAAAGTTTTTTTTTTCTTTTTTTTTTTATTATTTTTTAATGTAGTTTTTTAGTGTAATTTTTTTTAAGTTGCAAAAAAATATTGACGAAAAATTATCCTAAATCAGTCTTTATTTGAAGAGTTTTGATATCTTTAATGAAGCCATTTGTCATCATGGGCTTTTGGATGCCAAGGTCATAGCCTCCTTTGATCTAGGTGAATATATATATATAGGAGAAAGTGTCATGAAAACTTTCAAGGGGTGAGGATGATGGCATGCCTTTGAGTGGGCATAAGAGGATGGAATAACATTGGTGGCCTAAGGTAAATTATGGCCTCACTAAGCCCAATGATATGATATTAAGGATGTGTTTCTTTCATTGGCTTAATAAAACTTATGAAATAAATGTATAAAACTTATGAAGCTAATTGGGATAACTATATTAGAAGCCAATGGTTGGGGAAGGTTGTAGTGATAATAGGCCTTTGCATTGATGATAATTGTTGGCCTAGTGGTTAACATTAATCACCAACTCGGTATATGCTGAGGCAGTAAGCAGGTGCTAATGATCTAAGATGTTGCACATGCTAAGTTTCTAGTCTTGCAAAGAACTTTGGAACTCAACGTTGTGATCAAATGCTAGATGTCGAAGACTTTCACTTCATCATAGCAAATAAGATTATGATCATTTAAGATTGCGATCTAAATCATGCTCGAGGAGAAAAATTGGGGTTGTTTCAAGTAGGGAAAAAATGGACCTAATAGATGATAGTCGGGTAGATGTAGAATGAGAGCTATCACTTATGGATGGAAATAGAAAAAATCTCAGTTGTATCATAAAAAATCTCTTGAATTTGAAAGGGTCTCAAGAGATTGGTGGTCATGAGGAAATGTATCATATCATCTTAAGATACATAAATGATCATGAGTCCTTATGCTCCTACATGAGAAATAATGGAAGCCGAGATAACAGGACACATATGTTTGTCCTTAAAGTGTGATCCATGAATAGTTAAACCTAACACCTCATGAAATGGAAGGTAATTCTCCCTATTAACTCAAAGGATAAAAATATGTTCATCTACTTGATTAAAGACAAAATATAGGGCTTGTTTTGATTGTGGGATCCAAGCTAATGATTAATTATATCCCAAGTAAGACACTAGAAAAAAACTTTTGATTAAAGATATTCATGCTCTTAAGGTTCAATAGGAAATAGATGAGCCATCAATAAATGAGAATATTGTATGTGTGGAAGTGATATTTATCATGAGTTTCGGTATAAGAAGTGAATATTCATCTTTACTATTGTTGCGTTCTGGAGTATTCGCGGCGGTAGAGAAATATAAAGTTTAACGTCTTAACTTTGTACGAAGATTCGGCACGCAATTAGATAAGAGAGAGAGAGGGTGTAGCATTTATGAGACACCAAGATTTTTACGTGGAAAACCCCTGAAAAAGGGGAAAAAATTACAGGGCCTAGCCCAGTTTGAATGAATCTACTAGTATTGCAGTTGATTACAAATGAGTCTCTTCCTTGGGGAAAGGCCTTAACTTGATGTACATCTTATAGAGTACAGTACATGATGAGAATATAAAGAATCACTGCTGATGTGTTTGTTTGGTCTGAAAGATTGTAGTCGATGGGCGACATAAGTCGGAAGGAACGTAGTCGGCGGGCAACGGATGTCAGAAGGATTGTAGTCGGTGGGCGATGTAAGTCATAATGATCGTAGTCGGCGAGCGACGTAAGTCAAAAAGATTGTTTCAGGTAGAAGTTCAGTAATGGACATAAATCTAGCATCAGATAGATGTCGATGAAAATCTGACAATGGGCAAAAGTCCGGCGTCGGGTAGAAATCTGGCGACGAGCGGAGGTCTGGCGTCGGGTAGAAGTCCGAAGTTAGTTGGCGGCCGAGGAGAACTCTAGCGTTAGATGGTATTCGGGCAGAACTTTGGCGTCACTTGAAGTTCGGGTGAAACTTCGGCGTCACTTGGAGGTCATGTGGAATTCCGGCGTCACTTGGAGGCCAGGCAGAATTCCGACGTCACTTGGAGGTTAGACATAATTTCGGTGTCATTTGGAGTTCAAGTGAAACTTCGGCATCACCTGGAGGTCGGACAGAATTTGGGCGTCACTTGGAGGTTGGGTGGAATTTCGTCGTCTCGTGGAAGTCGGGAAGAATTTCGGCGTCCCGTAGAAGTCTGGTAGAATTCCGGCGGTCGTCGAGGAGGAGTTTCTTCCCTCCTATCCTTCTTATTTTCTCTTCTCCTTCTTCTCTTCTTCTTCTTGCTTCGGTCCCCTCTTAAGAGAAATGATGGGCTATTTATAGTTTTTTGAGGATGACATGCCCGGAAATAGGAGGATCAAGCGCAAAAGGTGGAGTGGAATGGATGGCGGTCGATATTGAATCTCTTGATTATGGGCCGTTTGTGAGACATTTGAAGTTCTTAAAGATATTGAAATTCGGCGATCTTGGATTAGTTGGATTTGTCTCGCCGAGCCGCTCGGTTCGACTATAAGCATGTCATATTTGGAAACTGTTTGGTAATCCAAATTATGAATTAAACCTTCCGAATATGCTTCTGGTCTTCGATTTTGACCCATTTGGGCTCAAATCGAGTTGAATTTGGTGTCGTCGGGTTCGTATTTATGAGACGCTCAGTTCAGCTATAAGTTTGCTGAAATTGAAGTTCAGATGATCCCATATTTAATTTTTGAAGTTTCCATCTTGATTTTGCCTCGATATTCGTGCCCAATCAAGATAATTTTTTGATGACATATCAACAATAAACCTTCCTTAACTCTAAAATTTATACAAAATAATATATATAAATTATCTTAAATTTCAAAGCAGGCCTTAGTTATTTTGTTAAAAGAATAAATATATTAACTTTGACTTAGTTTACAGACATCTATCTTCCTTTGTAAATTCCTTATGGGCCTACATAAATCCATTTGCAGGCATCTTTTAAGTTTTCTAGGGCTCTTTTAATCTACTTTTATAAGGAAATTATTCACATAACAAAATCATTATAAGGATAATCAAGTGCATAAATTAATCAATTTTGAATGTTTTGCAATGGAAAATGTGGATGTTTGAATCCTCACAATTTTAACAATATGTTGAAATTCTAAACCTTTAATACATATAGGAGCTCAACTTCTTCAACCGAATGTGAATGCTTGAGAGTAAACCTAATGTCATTCCTTAAAAACAAGTCATCAAGTAGGGGTGTCAATTCGGGTCAACGGGTCGGATTCGGGTTGAACCCGGAACTGACCTGACACTATTCGGGTCAACCCGAACCCGATACATTTTTAAAAACGGGTTAGGTTTTCGAAACCGAAACCGACCTGATTCGGGTCCGGGTCAACCCGATCCAACACGAATGACCGGGGTTGACCCAAAATGCTAGTTTTCGTGTAAACAATTAGGCCAATCTTCGATTTTCGGGTCAAAACGCATCAAACTCGGGTTTTTGGGTCAATTTCGGGTTGCTGTGTCAACCCGAACACAACCCGGTTTTTAAAATGGGTTGATTTGTTGACCCCCCGACCCGTTTCGGGTCCGGGTTGACCCTAACCCGAATTTTTCCGGGTCGGGTTCGGGACGTGTTTCGAGTCGTGTCAAAAATTGACACCCCTACCATCAAGCATGTTCTCATCTTCTTAACCCAGCTATGGATTTGCATGTAAGAATGTTCCAGCTTCTATTTTGTTTATTATTATTATTATTATTATTAATTATCATGTATTTCCTAATTAGTTTTTAGAGAAGAATATTTAGAAAATGTTCCCCAGCTCAAAATAAGGTGAATGGGTCTCAAAGACAAATGTTTATGAAAATACTTGTTTGGTGATGTTGTGCACTTAAGCGTTAATGTGGGTTGTGGCCAAACCACATTAAAATTAGTATTTGCTTATTGGTTTATCGTTTTCCTGATTTCTTCCACTCGTTTTAATTTTGTTATAAATTATTGACTTCCATTGTGATATTTTTTTTTTTCTATAAAATCTATTTTAATTATTAAAAGCTTTATTCATCTCTTCCTCTAGAGCATATGTAAAGCCTACATGCATATGTGTGCATCGGGTCTACTACTAAGAATTATTTTGAGGTGTACTTAAAGGATAGGTCTTTCTTTCTATTTGGAACAATGGTTAACCTCCAAGAGCTTATAATGGAACCGGTAGATGGCCCAAGGACCATTGATAGAGGAACCTACGTTGGTCTTGCATTGCCTAGATAACATATGAGAAGAACTTTAGAAGTTGTTTGTCAAAGTTACGTCTTAAGAGGCTATAATTCTACACTACATGAAATTCAGGCATTACCGGCAGTTTTTTCCGGTGGTTAATGATAGATTTCCGGCGGTTTTGTAAAAAACTGGCGGCTTTCCGGCGATTCAAAAACCACCGGAATATACCGCATAGGAAACGATTTCCTGCGGTATACGTACCGGCATTTTCCGGCGGCCTAGACAGCCGGTAATTTCCGGCAGTCGTAGCGCCGGTGACCACCAGTTAATCACCAGCTGCTTACCAGCCGTCCGACCGTCAAAACCGCCGGTATTAGCTGTGGCTAAACCGCTAAATCACCATCGGTTTACCACCTATTTGTTACCGACGGCGTACTGGCCGTAAAAACCGCAGGTTTTACTGGTGGTTAAACCGTCAGGTAGTGCCAGTTGACCGACGGTGACTGCCGACAAACCGGCGGTCTTTACCGGTAGTTTCATTAAATTTTCGGCGGCTACAATAAGTCGTTCAGTATCGTGGTTTCCGACGGCCAAACCGGCCTATATAGGTTGTGCTACTCTAAGTAGCCTTTCATAACATGTGAACCATGCCTAAAGTGCAAATATTCTTTGGAATGGACTCAACAAATATTGCAAACAACTATGAATGGGGGAGTTATCAACAAGTTCATGAAGACTTAAGTTAAACAACATAGATGATTGCCTAGGAAAATCAGATTTAAGTGAAAATATTCTTTGGTTAAGCCAAGAGATAAACCTTGGTTATATGAAGAGTCTAACCCTTGAAAATTAAAATGTTAGAAATTTATAGAGGGATTGAGTGGGCAGCCTTGACAAAATGGCCTTGAGGTCTACTGGTAAAGGTGATAAAAGACTCACAAAAAAGATAGATTTTTCTTGATCTTCAAGTTCAATTGTGGCATAAGAGATTTAATGGCCACATCGCTCAATCCTTATAGAAGAATTTACTGATTGAGCAGGGTAGCAAGACATCATATAAAAGAAGATATCAACTTATTAAAAGCTGGTATCCTGCTTTGATACTAAGATTCAACCTCTATGTTGTAGTTTGACTTACTTTGAAATATAGGCCATCCAATTAGAATTTTAAATTCATAATTTGCTTATTTGATTTTAACCCTTTTTAATCAAGATACAAGCATGACTCCTCAATAGTGTCATTTGGAGGAGAAATTATTTCGTGCGGTCACCGAACCGTCCAGAGTCAAATCAGAGCATGTCACATCACCTGGTATATAGCTGACATAATACTAGTACACAACAAAAAATGATTTGGTGCACTATAATTTGCCTCCGGTTGTCGTCCAGTGACTGTGCAAAATAATTTTTCCTCTTGGAGTTGTCTGAGAGTATAATTAATATTAAGATATATATATTTCCATTAGGGATTGATGAAGAATCTATTTCATTTAAATTTTTTAAATTCCACAAATTAATAATATGAATTTTTATGAGTATTTTATATGAGTTGAGATAAGACATATTAGTCTAATCTTACTTGACCTCTTTTCATATATTTTCTTATAGAATCTCCTACATGAAAATGCATCCTTATATTATCCTCTTTTTTGTTTGACACATACCTATATTGTTAATTAAACCTAATATTGGCATGGGCAGATCCCCCTAAAATTAAAAAAAAAAAAATTAGAGGGGATATTTTAGAATATTTTGGGTATTTTGCTCCCTCTCAAAAAAAATGTTTTGTCCTAGTTTTATTAATATCAAGCTTCTTTGCTCATCTCCCACAAAAAAAAAAAAAAAAAAAAAAAAAAAAAAAAATTATCCACCCTGACAAAAGAAACTAGATCCGCCCCTAAATATTAGTCAACCCTATCTTGTCCATTTCAACCAACCAATTAAGGTCTCGTTTGGGATGACTTTTTTATTGCTTCTTAAAGTAACTTTCGAGTACAAAAATTTTAACGTTTTGTAGTAGAAAGCTATTAAGAAAGTCACCCCAAATGAAGCCTATGTGTAGACGAATGTTAGGCTTAGTTTGGGATAATTTTTTTGTTACTTTCTAAAGCGGCTTTTTAGTATAATTTTTTTTAAATAATAAAAAATAATGATGACCAATAGCTGCCTCAAATGAAGCCTTAATTACCCATAGATTCTAGCCCCTAATCTAAGGAGGTCGACATAAGAGTTACCTTACTTGCAATAATGAGTAATGTTAAAAAAGTTAAAACTAACAAGTGAATGTTTATTTTTGGGGCATTTACATACATACAATTTAGTTTATGTTATTTACATATCTAACACTTAAAGCATTAATATTACATGCATACCACTCATACACAACTTTAATATCAAATATACCACTCCTATATTTCATTCCTACCACTCATACAACATAATGAATTTTAATATTTCATTCCATACACTCATATTTGTTCTATGGGTGGTATAAATGTAATATTGATATTTTGAGTATTCGATATGTAAATAACAAGAAATAAAGTGGTTGGTATGTATGTAAATCTTCCTTTATTGTTCTCACCATGTGGAATAAACTCATGCTAATAAGGAAATGAAGATTATATTTTTTTAAGAGTAGAAAACTCTATGCTAAAACTAAATGGGAAAAAAATCTAATGAAATGATCTGAATTTTTTATTTATTTCCCCTTAGTTTTTTTGTTCAAGATTTTCAATGGAAATAATTAGTATGAATAAAAAAATTGTTTATAAATATAAATTTATTTGAAAAGTATAATTAACACCATTATCTTTCAAAATAAATATATTAAATTTTGAAAAGAAAAAATATATATTTTTTAATATTTTATGCAAGAAGTCCACCCACCAACTCACCAAATCTGATTCAAAATCTAATAAAAATTTTCTGTACATCGCCGGAGACAAAAAAAAAACCAAAACTAAAGAGAATTCTGAGACAAAAGAAAAAAAAGAAAGAAAAACAGAAGCGAAAGATCTTAAATACGGGAAGAATAAAAAAAATTCAGTAAACCCTTATTTTGAGGGGATGTGAATTTTGTGATTTTAAATTTAATTATTTAGATCAAACCCTTTTCAGCCACTTACTAATTAAATTTAAAATTGATTAATAGATTTCTTCCTGTCATAAATGTCAAACCTAAATAAATCGCTAAACAACTTACCAAAATCTAACAGAACTTTACTTCTATCATGCAAACAATTTGGGGATTTTAATCACTCCAGATTTACTAAATCAGAATTTACAGGAATTTTTCAATCAAAAACTAAGAGCTATCCAAATTCAGATCGGACTCCAAATACCAAGCCAGATCTCCGGTCTCTCCGGCATCGAGAAGAACGCGGCGAAATAGATCGACAGTGCAAGGGATCCGAATCACACCGACCTGCTCGTAACCATACTCCTGCGCCGATCGACGGAGCAATTCCACGAACGCTGGCCGGCCGAGAAGCTCCGCTCGCACGGCGAACCGCTCCATTTCTTCTCCGACGCAGACAGGCACGTGCCCTCCCGGCACCCGGACGTGCCCTCTCCGACCCCGCTCGTTCTTCCCATCTCCCGGCCGCTGAGAAGAGTCCGCCACTCTGGCGAGCCGGCGGATCAGCTTATTCATTTCCTGGCTGAAGCAGAGAGAAGAAGGAGAGAGGAAGCTGGGAGTGTGTTTCTGTGGCGAATGCTTCAACTAATAAAGGAGACGAAGGAATTTTTAATGGCGGAATATTTGCAGGGAGAGTAAAGGTTGTGAGGTAGGCGACGAGATAGCGGAAGGTACAAAGAGTGGTACCTGGCAGGTACATGATGTGTGCGTCGTATCTTCTTCCGGTCAGCTGCGGACTCCATAACACCGTACACAGACTTTGATCCACAATTATATGACATTTTGCAGAAAAAAAAAAATCAGCATAATTATATTTATATTAAAATTAATATGCTATTCTCTTTAATTAATATTAAATATTTTTGGATATTTGTTTTAGAGAATATCTACTTCATCCAATTTTTACATTTATTTTTAGTTATATATTTAAGGTTAAATTTAAAAAAAGAGCTTATTATAGTTCTAATTAGTTGAAAAAAGTGTGTTTAAGAGAAAAATTTAAGGAGCGGATGCCTAAAATAGTTTTGCATTTTTCTAGAAAACTCCGAATCATTTTGGGCATTTACTCTTTTTTAAATTTTATGATGAGTACGCTCCTTTCAATTAATTAGAACTATAATAATTTTCTTTTATACTTTGGCCTATGTTTTAGTAGTGTGCATTGAACATTAATTTTTTACTCTAATTGAAAGTATAAATTGCAAATAAATAATATTTTAAAAATTGTAATTTGTTTTCTTAAGTTTTCAAATAGAATTAGTATTAGAATTAGAAAAATCTTTTTATTTAGCTCAAGTGGCACATAAGATTAGAGAGTCATCATAGATTATTTGGTGTCATAAAACACCAATCTGCCTATAATCCGATTAGGATGGTAGATATGTCAGATTTGGCCTATTTTAAGAAAAGTTGAGATAGATCCAAAAAGTCTTGATTAGAAAGTATTAGAAGTACCATTTTTTATTAGATTTAAATGAGAATTTGACTTTTACCCGAACATAATAGAGAGAACATATTCATATAGCCGACCTCACGTGGTGGAATAAATGTTTGATGTTGTTGTTGTTGTTGTAGGAAAATATATCAATTTAAATTAATATTTAATAGTTCTAAAGTGAATGGACATTAATTGTTATTGATATATCATCAAAAATTATCTTGATCGGCCACAAATCTCGACGTAAAATTAAGTTGGAAATTTCAAAAATTAAAGCGAAAATCATATGAACTCTAATTTCAGCAAACTTACTGTTGAAATGAAGGTATTGAAAATATGAACCGAACGACACCAAATTCAACCCAATTCGAGCTCCAATAGGTCCAACTCAAAGACCCGAAGAGCATTTGGAAGGTTCAATCCATAATTTGGATTACTAAATAGTTTTCAAACATGACATGCTTATGATTGAATTGAGCGGCTCGAAGAGGTGATTCCAACAAGCCCAAGATCGTCAAATTCTAATTATATTAAGACATTCAAATGCTCAATAAATGATCCACGATCAAGAGATTCAATATCGGTTGTTCATTCAAACCACTCTCAATTTATCCTTGATCTTCCTCCTATTTACTGGTTATGTCACTCTCATAAAACTATAAGTAGACCTCCCATTTCTCATGAGAGGGAACCCAAGCAAGAAGAGAAAAGAAGGAAGCAAGGAAGAAGAAAAACTTGAGTTCTCTTGCCACCAGACTCCTTTTTGACCACTGTCGAACTTCTACCCGACAACCAACCGACACTAGAGTTTTGCCTGACCGCTAACAGACGCCAGAGTTATGCCCGTCAGACAACTGACGCCGGAGTTTTGTCCGACCGTCAATTCATGTCGGATTTCCGCTTGACCACCAAACTTCGTCAGATTTCATATCTCCATTTGTAATTGGATTTCAACTCGATGGTTGATTATTGTAATCTGATAGTCCTCAATTTTAGAGACGAGTCAGTCACTTGTAATCAATTCAGACGCTAGTGGATTCTTTTCAGCTAAGCATGGCCCCATGATTTTTTTTCCTTTTCAAGATTTTCCATATAAAAATCCTTGCATTCATTCATCTTCTGTTTGTGTGTTGGATATCCATACAACGCTAAGACGAAAAATTCAAACTCCATCGCAGCATATATTTCAGCCCGCAACAATTATTGTTATTAATATTTGATTAGAGGCTGAGTTTCTTAAAGATTAATCCATTCAATCTCCTTTCTTATTTTATAATATTTTTAAAGAAATATTATTTTGGTTATAATTATATGAAGGAGTGGGAAGCTGCGAGCCATTTCCAGCTTGACACCTAACTCTTCATCTGTTTTTGACTGGACTATAATATGCAATGGAGTTCAATCAGATTGGAATTCGTAGCAAAGTCATAAAATTATTGAAGTTTTTAGTCGGTAAATAAATTTGGCGAAGTCATAAAATTGTGACATTTGTATATATATAGAATTAAGTGCATGCTTTCGTTTATTTCAGTCAAAGAAAATAGGTAGGTGAGTTGGTACTGCCCTGACTGGCGCTTCTGAAGACTAGAAGTTAATGGATTTTTTTTTTTTTTTAACAGGTTGGCTTGGTTTATTATAGTTTATTTATGATCATTTATTAAAGAAATTAAATAAGTTTATACATTTTTTTTAATACTCTATGGGTAAATATATAAGCTTGAACATTTATTTGTTTATGTTCGTGAACAGTATCGTTTAAAGCTCGTGAACATACACGATATGAAGCTTATTAAAAAGTTCGATTCATGTTCGATGTAGAGCTCATGAACAAACTCGTTAAGAAATGTGATTGAGGTTTGATATGGAGCTCGTTTAAGTTTCGTTAGGAAAATGATGAATAATGGAATATGAATTTTTTATAAATATTATAATTTTTTAATATAATATTAATTAATTAATTAAATTTTAAAGCAATTAAACATTATAGTGTTTATTAATTATAGGTACTTGTTTATATTTGTTGCATGTGTTACATAAGTCAGAGGCATCAGCCATCAAGAGATCACGATTAATTGTGTTGCACCATTTGCAATTAATTAGGAGTCATCATAGTCCTCAAGAGAAGGTAAGAACAACACAAAAAATGAGGGGTGCATGCAAACGAGTCAAGCCGACTTGTGAGCCTACTCGAGCTCGACTCGATAACGAGCTCATGAGTCGAGCTTATGGAGTTTTGAACTTGAACTTGAGCTGATTTACCCGCTCCTTGATAATTGTGCTCGTGTTTACCTGAGTTGTTGCTCGATTAGTTGACTCATTGAGCGACTCAAGTGATGAAAATAGAAGCAGAAGCGAAAGGCGAATCTATGGAAGACGAAACTAAGGAAGGCTAAAGGCAGAACTTGGAACCAGATCTAAAAGCAGAAGCGAATGTTGGCTTGCTCTTCTTATGCCTCGCAAGCTACTCGCTAACCCGCATCCATTATCACAAGCTGAGCTCAAGTTGAGCTCGAGATTGAGTTTGAGCTTGCGGTTTGGCTGACAAGCCAAGCTCGAGTTAAGTGTATCTTGAGCTCGAGCTCGACTCATTTATACCCCTATCAAAAAAAGAGATTGAGGTAGATGTCGCATAAACGCCCAAATTGAGCGAGAAGGAAATTTGTACTAAGGAGAGAAGGAATACAGCCAATCCACTCCATTGTATCAGGCCAAATAATCAGAAGTCATAAACTGAGCAATTTCATCAAGCATCGCTCAGGGATGAAGCCAATACCAACCCAAAAGCTTGATTACAAAATAATAAAAGATCGACCACAAGAAAAGAGAAGCTATGCTTATCACAAAAACCAAGAGAATCGAATAAGGAAGTTGTAACACAAATCAGCCCAAAACAATAAGATGATAATTGTCAGGTACAGTTCCCAGCAAATACAATTTGATGCTCTCATTCAAAAAAAAAAGTTAGTTTGTAAAGTGCATTTATTGTCCTCATGGATCTATTTAGGACAATTTTCTTATTGCTTTGCTTTCAGATCACAACGATAATTTCAATTTGCTTATATATATATATATATGTTGCTTTCAAGAAATTTCTATGTTAGGAAATTACATTTTACAACAACTTTTATAAAAGTTATTTTTCTCATAACAACTTTAGAATTAGCTTTATAAAAAAGCTACAGTCATCTCAAACATACTCTAAATCACATCAATATTATTGCTAACTTTCTACAGTCACATTAGTAGTAAATTAAAACTGAAATTTATTTGCAATTTATTTGTGGATAGAGTCTACATTGATAGCATCCCTATTAGGTAGATTTAAAGAGCTAAAACCTTGGGTGGTGGCTTCCAATGAGTTCCAATCAAAGCACATGCCCTTTTCTATTACCATTTAGGATGGCTCCACCTAGGCCATCGTCGTTGGTCTCTACGGGATTAATTACACGGATATTCCTTTTTCAACAAGTTCAAAGGCCTTATCCACCATAGTTGTGTGACTTGTGTCATTTATCCCATTAAATGTCTCTCGTGCAACAAGTATGATTCTAACCTTTACGAGTTGATTGCAATCTCATCTAAGAAACTCTCAATAATACAAAATCTTAGGCGAAAACACATGGCCTACTCTACGTGCTTGGTTTGTGAACAGTATTCTTCAATTCCACTAGAGTGCTAAAATATTATTGTTGTATGTGAGATGTTCAATAAAGTTGGCCGTGATTGATTAGGCTATTGCAACCACCATATAATAATGCGCTACAGTACCTTGTTAGCTCCTCTTACAGAAGACGATATTATTTTTGGAAAGTTTTTCTATATGTGTTGCTTGACATGTTATATTAGGAGTTTTATTGGGTTCTAGGAGATTGTATTGAGCAACTGCATTTAAGTAGATTTATGGTTACTAGCATCGGCTGGTCACATCTCTATGGGTTCAAAGGTTTAAAATAGATTTTATTCTTATTGTTCAGAGCCTTCTACATGTATTGTATTAGGATATGATTTGATGTTTACAATTCAAATGAATATAGGAGAGTAGGTCGGTCAATAAATAGGGGAATAAAAAAAGTGAAGGGGTTATTTGTTCTTTATAGTCTATTGGTGGCTTTTGTTGGTAGTGATGTGAGCATTATGTCATGGGAAGACAATTGGAAGATGGCCTTTAGTAAAACAAGAGATTATATTTTAATTTTTGGAAGACAATGTTTTTAAAC